GGTGTGCGCCACCACACCTAGCTAATATTTGTGTTTTTAGTAGAGATGGGTTTTCACCACATTGGCCAGGCTGGTCTCTTGGCCTGGCTGGTCTCAAACTCCTGACCTCATGATCCGCCTGCCTCAGCCTCCTAAAGTACTAGGATTACAGGCATGAGCCACCGTGCCCAGCCTAGAACTTCCTCATTTATTTTAACAGCTGCATAATTCGTAGTAAAACTTATTTTCGCAGTGCCTTGTTAAGGGCTGTGTCTTTTTACGAATATATCCGGTGCTATAGTGTACATCCTTGTGTGTGGTCTTGGTGCACCTGTGCTAAGTATTTCTGTAGCATAAATCTGTAAAAGTGGAATCACTAATCAAAGGGTGTGATCCATTTCGTTATCTTTATTTTCTTGGATCCTTCTTAGCTTTCTCCATGTTAAAGATATTGACAATTGTCCTCTTATTGAAATTTATGAACCATTGATTCCCTTGATATTATTGCCCTGGCCTCCTGACTGATTCTTCTCTCTCTCTTCTCACCCCATGTTGAGCTCCCCAGGGTCACACCTAGTTTTGATGACTCACTAGCATAGATTTGTACTCGTGGCTGTGATTTATTGCAGTCAGAGGACACAGAGCAGGAACTGCAAAGGGAAAGGCACTTAGGGTGAAGTCCAGGGGAGACTCAGGCAAGTTTTAAGGTCAGCTCTTACTAGGGTCACACAGGACATGCTTACATCCTCCAGCAAGAGTTGTGACAACACTTGTGAAATGTTGTCTGCTAGGGAAGCTCATTAGCAGACTCGGCACCTAGGGTTTTTATTGGAGGCTGGTCACATAAGCACCCTCACACATATCAAAAAATTCTAGTCTCTTAGAAGGAAAGCAGGGTGTTAGGATAGCCATGTTATTCGCATAAACAGTTCAGGTGCAGGAAATCCCCTTCATCAATTAGGCCGGTGGGTACCCTTGTAAAACCCCAAGTTCCTAGACACCAGCCAGGGGCCAGCTTTGTCAGGAGGACGGCAGTCAGGCCTCCCATGTTAACTCTTTTCTGTGTACCTCCTAATTTTAGAAACCTCCGAGGCTTTGCTGCCTGACCTTTCCTGTCTTTCGGTGTCTTTATCTACTTTTATATCTTTACCAATGATCTCTACCCTGACTTTTAAATGTGTGCTCTGGCCATTCACCTAACATGTGGTTCTTCTCCAAGTCTTCTCAGCAGATTTGCTTAGATGTCTGCCAACGCTCCACACCAAGTGTTACAAACTAAACTCATCATCTTCCTTCTGAAACCTGTTGCCTAGTTCAGGCACCGTGGCTCACACCTGTAATCCCCGCACTTTGGGAGGCCAAGGCAGGTGGATCACCTGAGGTCAGGAGTTCAAGACCAGCCTGGCCAACATGGTGAAACCCCATCTCTACTAAAAACACAAAACTTAGCCAGGCGTGGTGGTACACACTTGTAATCCTAGCTACTCAGGAGGCTGAGGCAGGAGAATCACTTGAACCTGGGAGGCGGAGGTTCTAAGATCGTGCCATCATACTCCAGCCTGGGCAACAAAGGTGAAACTCCATCTTATTTAAAAAAAAAAAAAAGAAAGAAAAAGAAGCCTGTTTTCCCAGCTTTGTCATTTATATAGAGGCCCTATGTAGAGAGTTTCCTTGGAAACATCTCTTGGATTTATCTGCTCTTGCAGAGGCCATTGCCACCAACCTGGATCATGTCTGTATCACTTCACACAAGGCTTATGGCAGCAGTCAGTCATCCAGGTGACCTTCCTGACCTCTGGCTTATTTCATCCCCACTGGACTGTTGTTCCTAAACACCTCTTTCTTATGTCACTCTAAAACCTGACCCTGGCCCTACCTTTCTTTACTCCCTGACTACTCACTGAGAGCAGATAGGTCTTGTCTTTTCCTGCCTCTCTGCTTTTGTAAACTGCCATTTCTACCTGAAATGGCAACTGAAATTGTACCTTCTTCATAAACTGTTTTTGGCCACCTCAGAATTCCTTATCCCATTTTCCTGAGGCATTTATTTGACTCTTCTTTACTGCCCCATTTTTTTTTTAAGATGTTGAGTTGGTCAGGGCTTGTAGTTAAAGCAACAGAAGTCAACTCTTTAAGCAGAAAGGGAATTTGCTAAATGATAGTGCAAAGTTCTCAGAATCTCTAGCAAGGTGAAGAACCAGGCTTGGAGACTAGGTAGCCACAGATACACAAGCATACTGTAGGACCGTTCCCTTGAAGAGGCATCTGTTGTCACCACTGGACACAGATGGTACTGTGTCTCTGTTACTCTACCAATGCCACTGCTGTCTCTTACCCTGGATGTAGCTCTCTCTGATCCTGGATGTAGCTCTCTCTGATCCTGGATGTAGCTCCCTCTGACCCCGGATGCAGCTCTCTCTGACTGCAGATGTGGCTCCCTCTGACCCTGAATGTAGTTCCCCTCTGATCCTGAATGTAGCTCCCTCTGACCCTGGATGTTGCTCCTTCTGACCCCGGATGTAGCTCCTTCTGACCCCGGATGTAGCTCCTTCTGACCCTGAATGCAGCTGCCTCTGACCCTGGATGTAGCTCCCTCTGACCTTGGATGCAGTTGCCTCTGACCCCTTATGTAGCACCCTCTGACCCCGAATGCAGCTACTTCTGGCCCCGGATGTAGCTCCCTCTGACCCTGGATGCAGCTACCTCTGACCCGGGATGTACCTCCCTCTGACCCTGGATGCAGCTACCTCTGGCCCCTGATGTAGCTCTCTCTGGCCCTGGATATAGCTTCCTCTGACTGCAGATGTAGCTCCTTTTGACTCTGGATATAGCTGCCTCTGACCCAGATGTAGCTTTTCAACCCCAAATATGGCTGCTGTACCCCCTTGCCAGAGTGAATACTGCATCATTGTGGCCTCTTCTTGTCGCTGGTTCTTACTTAAAATCTGAGCTGGAAGTTCAGATTGGCAGTTTTGTCACTTGCTCTCTCCTTGTTGCAGTCTAGATGAGGTCTCATGTTCATAAGGTAGAGAATTTTCCAGATATGGAAGGGGATTCCAGTTTTCAGCAGCCAAGCAGAGTATCACATTTCCACTCTAATCATTTTTCCCGTGTGTCTGACTCTTACACTTCTTTCTAGCTGCAGTCTGCCTACTAGAGAACCTTGCATACAGAAGGCATTTAATAAGTAATCATCAGAAAGGCAAAGCAATATGAATCAGCTAGGATGTTTTGGCAAATAACACCAAACCTGACTATGGCTTAAGCTTGTGGTATTGTCTCCAGTGTGATCAGATCTGTATTTTAATTTTTAAAATGTAAATTAGTAATATCTAAGAATCACCAAAGTATCTTGGAGTAGCCTAGAAAACAATGAATGTCCTTCTCTGTTTTCACAAGAGCCATAAATAGTCCTGGTTTAAATCAGTTGGGTGCAGGGCATTGTGTCTCACTAACATAGTTAAAAAAAAAAAGAGTATTACTGAAGTACCATCGGATCTTTTCTGAAGTAGAAAGCATTAACCCCGACAATGAAAGCAGCCAGTGGCCACGATTCTCAGCATAGTTGTTTTCTGGTGTCACGGGCCTCCCACCCTGTTCTTAGCAATTGCCGTTACAACACATGAATAATTGGCTTCCATAGTTTCTCATCTTACTGCCTAAGGCAACAGGGAGCCTGTGGCCTCAGCTTGCCGTTGAGCAGCTGCTTTGTTACCTCTCCTCTGCATGTGTGAGGACTGCCAGAACCCACTTTCCAGAAGGGTGAGAGTTCATTCATTCACCATGCAATTACCACTTGTCTCTTAGCCTCTGTCCTCAGGAGGCAAAGGTGATGACGCAGTCCTGCCTCATGCAGCTCACGGTCTCCGCAAAGCTGCCTGCAAACAAGCAGAATCCAGAGTGCTACAATGAACCCTCTGAGAGGGGCTGACTCAGTCAGCCCAGGGAGCTTGAAAACAGCTCCACAGAGAAGGCTGTGCCTGAAGTACATGTCAGTTTAGGAGCCAGCCAACTTATAACCACTTTTCTGTGGCCTGTCCTATTTTATTTCGTATTTCTTGGCAATCCTCGATACCTTGGATAGGTTTTACCATGCATATCATAATTTGGGTGAGCTTAGTGTGAGGCTTAATGGTGTGTGAGCTGCACATCCTGGTCAGATGCTCCAGATGGTGGGAGATGATTGTGATGCAGGAGAGGCAGCCAGATAGCACAGGTCCCCAGCCAGTGGACTGGGAGGACAATGTAGTCATCTCTGGGGAAGGGGAATGACAAGATCTGGCAGTGTGGCAGGTCCCAGACAAAAGGGGTGGGTTTTGGGCACTGAGGGTGCAGGTAGAGACCTGAATACTGGATGGGGCCAACTAGAGCCCACACCTGCAGACTGGAGTGGTCCAAGGAAGGTAGATGCTATGACTTGAAGACCTGCAAGCACCCATTCATCCTCATGATCATGCACTTCTCTAGTTTCTAACGGTGCAGTCTGGGAGTCCAGCAGAGAAGAAGAGCAGGCCCTGGAATCCCGGGTGTGGGGGCGTGGCTTAACTTGGAGCTTCCTTCAGAGGCAGTGACTGCTTGTCATTGTCTCCATCAGCATTGCCTTTGGGCCTAGTGAGGTCTAGAACTTTCTGTTGGGATCAGCAGTGGAACAGGAGGAAAAGGAATGAGTAGATATGGCATTGCAGCAAGTGGTTTTGTTTATTTTACTATGAGAATTATATTAGGCAGAAGTTTTGCTTCATAAACTCTCAGCTATATACAAAGTATTGTGAATAGTATTTACCTTGTGTCTCTTTCCAAAGAACTCATGGTAGTTTGCAGCTATTGCAAATATCCTAGCCATGTGGTTCTTTTTTATAGCTGTTTGAATAGGTAAGATGACTTGGAAAATGCTGGATTCTGAGCAGATTTATGTGCACTTAAAAAATGTAGTTTTTCTCTATCAATAATGGGTTTGGGTTGTAATTGCTTAGTAAGTAATTTTGTTTACGTAAACATGTTTGTTAATTTTTTTTTCCTAGGTAATCCCCTATGTTGGCACCATTCCTGATCAGTTGGATCCTGGAACTTTGATTGTAATACGTGGGCACGTTCCTAGTGATGCAGACAGGTACAATCATTGTGCTAAATGAGGGAGCGTGAATAAGCTGTCTCTTTGTGATTGTGAAATGGTAACAAAGAGTAATGTGGGAGAGACCATTTGATACTTAGAGGCCTAATTTGCTTTCATCAGCAGCCCTGTCCAAGGTGCTGAGGAGATTGGAATGAATGACTCAATAAAGGTTATTGGGATTTGTTTCATTGCTGTAAGTCTGATTTCAGTACAAAAAATTAGAAATATCAGCTGGATATGGTGACTTACACATGCATTTCCAGCACTTTGGGAGGCCAAGGCGGGAGTAGTATTTGAGGCCAGGAGTTTGAGACCAGCCTGGGCAACATCGTGAGACCCCCATCTGTTAAAAAAAAATTTTACAGACCCCCATCTGTCAAATTTAACTGGGCATGGTGGTGTGTGCCTGCAGTCCCAGCTACTTAGGAAGCTGGGGTAGGAGGATCACGTGAGCCCAGGAGTTTGAGGTTGCAGTAAGCTGTGAATGAGCCACTGCACTACAGCCTGGGTGACAAAGAATTAGATATGTCATTAAAAGAAAGGAGGTGTGCTCAGATGACAGGAACCGTCTGGTTGTCATCTGACATTCCCACAGCATCTCGGAAGGTCTAGTTCAGATGGTTTCACTGAATACTCGCTTTGGATACAAGCTGTGGTATCATCAGTGTTGGGCTCAGCTCTGTGTAGCTAACACCTGAAGAGCAATGGTTTAAGTAAGATGTGAAAATTAAGTCTCAAGGAGACAGCCCAGGCCTTTTCAGTCAACTCCTTTAAGTCATTAGAGGAGTAGGCTCATTCCAGCTCACCACGCTGCTATCTTGAGGGTGAGGTGAGGTCCCTTTCCTGTTATCCTTGGCAGCTAGATTTCCAGCCCTCACATCCGTGCTTTGGGTAGCTGGATGGGTGCATGTGCGGTGATGTTTGCGGGGAAGCAGAGAAGAACAAAAGGCAATTGCTTGCTGACTTTTAAGGCAGTTTCCAGTAGTCTTCCCTGAGCACTTCACTTCCGTCTTATCAGCAGAGCTTTAGCTGCACAGGCAGGCCTAGCTGCGAGGGAGGCTAGGAAAGGTAGGGTTCTTATTCTGGGCAGATTCAGACCCATTTCAAATTCAGGGACTGTGTGACTGAGGAAGACGGAAAAAGATCAGGCAGCCTAGCTCTTTAGGCCTCACAGTGAATGAACGAGGAGGGATCAGTCAGTCCCTTGTCACTGGGCCTGGCGTCTGGGCCTTTCCTGGTGGCTTTCCTTTCTGAGCCCCTGTGCCTTCCCTCATACAGATTCCAGGTGGACCTGCAGTATGGCAGCAGCGTGAAACCTCGAGCCGATGTGGCCTTTCATTTCAATCCTCGTTTCAAAAGGGCCGGCTGCATTGTTTGCAATACTTTGATAAATGAAAAATGGGGATGGGAAGAGATCACCTATGACACGCCTTTCAAAAGAGAAAAGTCTTTTGAGATCGTGATTATGGTGCTGAAGGACAAATTCCAGGTAGGTTTTGGAGAGGGGCAGGTTGAGTCCTCATTAATGGGTAGGAGTTCACAGGGGCACTTTTCACATTTGCAAGCCCGCCCTTGTATTTCCTACACCTGAGACATTGGTTGGCTTTTGTAGTTTTTCTCCATACAGGGACCAGGAAGGCACCTAAATGTGAGGCGTGGCCCCACTACTCCTCAGCCAGTTGTTGCTCTGCAGAAATATGGTCCATTGTGACCAGATCTTTCTATTAGATCCTATTTCTCCTAGGAGGGCTAAGTTCTGAATTGACACAGTGTTATGTTAACGATGAGGGAGTAAGTTACAATACAACCACCACCCAAAGAACTGACAGGGGCAATCCCGGTGTAGAAATCAGAAGGGTTTTGTAAATTCAAGTCTTGCCACAAGAGAGTTCTGTAGGATCATGAGATTTTAGACCCAGAGGAGATCCTAGAAATCCTTGATGCCAGTTCCATCTCTGGCTTCTTGGAGTGTCTTCTACCTAGTGTGTACGTGTAAGGCTAAATTTGGTCCAGAGGCTGTTACACCTGCTGGCCTTCCCACCTGTGGAGCTTTCCCAGAGTAGAGGTGTGTACCAATTCGAGTGAATACTCGCGTGTCTCTGATGGAGATCCTTTTTGATCCTCAGGATACCACTCCTGCTCGAAAATCTTTCTGAATCTCCCAAACTCCCTTCACCTCTCCCTTCTCTGGCCTTTCAAGCCTTTGTCTGTATCATTCTTTTTAACGGTTTTTAACAGTTGAGCTTTGGCTTTATGTGTTTATTTTGCCCCCACAATGGGATTTTAAGCTCCTTGAGTCAGAGACCATATTGCATGCTGCTTGCATTTTCTGCACATAATCTAACTTGATACTGGCATTTGAGAGGGAGGGGAGAGGAGCCACGTACAGTGCTGAGGACCCACAGAAGCTTCCCCATCCTCATCTTACTGCTGTAGTCTGTTGAGGTGGAGATTGTTCCTACTTCAGAATCAGAAAACCGAATCTCAGATAAGTTGGGTAGCTTGGCCATGTTCATTTGTTTCATTTAGCAAATTCAACAGATTTTGAGTGTCTGCCACACGGGTGGTCTTGAGGGACGGCACTGTGCAGAGCTCCCAGGGCAGGTCCTTCACTGGGTTCGCAGCCTCCAGGGCACCTGTGCAGGGCTTCCAGGCGACCGCCGAACCCAGATGTCTCACATGTACACAGAGGCGCACACAGGCACCTGTATATATATTTGTGACTGCATGTTTGTCTCGGGAGAGACAGTTCATGGTGCTTATCAGACCAGGAACCCAAATGAAGTTCAGAAACACCGCTAGTGTTTTGGGTGCTTTCAGTTACAATTTGGTCAGATGTATGTGGAGACCTGTGAGAAGGGGTGTAAAACTGGATGCAAGGAAACACTGACATTTGGGTAAGTTAATTTATTAACTGTTTTTTTTTTTTGGCGGGGGTGTGTCTGTCTTCTGTTTCTCTCTAGGTGGCTGTAAATGGAAAACATACTCTGCTTTATGCCCACAGGATTGGCCCAGAGAAAATAGACACTCTGGGCATTTATGGCAAAGTGAATATTCACTCAATTGGTTTTAGCTTCAGCTCGGTGAGTGACCTTCCACAGCTTGGGGTGTATTATGAGGATGGTTTCTGATGAGATAGTAGAAAAAGTCTTCAAATAACACTTGTATTGAGATAAAAAGGATGTATCTCCTTGCCTGTAGTATAATTTTTTGGATGCAGATTGTTCACAAGGCTGTTTATCAACCAGGGCTTGATTGTCTGTAGGATCTCAAATCTAGTGTGGGTTTAGCAACACACACACTGTTTTCAGCCGGGTAGGTAGCGGCCACTTCCTTTGCATGGGTGTAAAACGGAGTATTTCTGTAAGAAAGTTTCCTAGGCTGGGAGTGTCTGAGTCAGAGAGTGTCCTTATGTGTTACATAAGGACAGTTTAGTCAATGATGAACCACATAGGCAACAGTGGTCTCATAAGGTTGTCACACTGCATGTTTACTGTACCTTTTCTGTGTTTAGGTGTGTTTACATGCACAAATACTTACCATGCTGCTCCGGTTTCCTGCAGTCTTCAGTACAGAGCATGCTGTACAAGATCACTGTCCAGGAGCCATGGGTCATACCCTACAAGTCTGTAGTAGGCAGTACCATCTAAGTTTGTTAAGTAATATTCTATGGTGTTCGTACGATGACATAAACCACCTCAGAACACGCTTCTCAGAATGTACCCCCTTCATTAAGCAACACGTGACTGTATTTGCATTCAAAATTTTGATAGATACTGCTAACTTGCCCTCCAAAAGGGTGAAACAATTTGCACTCTCAACAACCATGCCCATCTTCTTACCTTCTTGTTGCTGTTACGTCTTATTCTCTGTAATGTTTGCCAGTTTGGTAGCGGGTGGGAAGGACCCCAGTGTTAAGTGTATTTTGGGGTCATAGTTTTCAAGCATATTTTTAGTACCATTTATAATTTTTTGATATATCAAACAGGTTATAAATAGAAAATATTTTCTACTGGATGTTACTAGTTAATCTTTATTATCTTTCCTCAGGATTTACAAAGTACCCAAGCGTCTAGTCTGGAACTGACAGAGATAAGTAGAGAAAATGTAAATACTAAATATTTTAATAAGCCACTGGTTTAAAAATGTTTCTTTTAACTGCCATGTAAATGAAGTGGAGGGAAGGCTGGGTTTTGGAAACTATGCTTTTAGAATGCAAGTACTCCTCTGAAAATTGAGAGATATTTCAATGCCACTTGTGGCGGCAGGCACTCAGTAAGGTTTTGCTGATGCTTCACCTGTCAGTTTATGTAACTGTGACTGCTGTCATGTGAAAAGAACTCTCTCACTCTTAACTGCTGAATTGTACTGTTCTGAGGTATTTCTAAATACTGAACATCAGCCAGTGCACTCGCAAGTGAACTTCCACGTGTATCTTCAACCCCTGGGAGATTAAGTGCAATTTAAAAATGAGCTGGGCCAGGCACAATGGCTCACACCTGTAATCCCAGCACTTTGGGAGGCCAAGGCAGGCAGGTTATGAGGTCAGGAGATTGAGATCATCTTGGCTAACATGGTGAAACCCTGTCTCTACTAAAAATACAAAAAAATTAGCTGGGCATGGTGTTGCGCGCCTGTAGTCCCAGCTACTTGGGAGGCTGAGGCTGGAGAATCGCTTGAACCCGGGAGGCAGAGGTTGCAGTGAGCTGAGATCACATTACTGTACTCTAGCCTGGGCAACAGAGTGAGAGTCTGTCTAAAAAAAAAAAAAAAAAAAAAAGAGCTGTTCTTAATGGAGGAAATGAGGTCTTACCGACTGGCACATTCACACCTCACAGATAGAAGAGAATCTTAGCCTTCTGGAGGCACCCTGGAAAGGACAACTAAGACATATTTCAAGTTCATGTAGTCCTGGGTGAACATGGTGGCTCAGGCCTGGAATCCCAGCACTTTGGGAAGCTGAGGCGGGAAGATTGCTTGAGCCTAGGAGATCAGCCTGGGCAACATAGGGAGACCCCCATCTCTACTAAAAATTAAAAAATTAGGCATGGTGGCGCATGCCTGTGATCCCAGCTATGGAGGCTGAGGTAGGAGGATCACTTGAGCCCAGGAGGTTGAGGCTGCAGTGAGCCACGATTGAGCCTACTGCACCCGTATCGGTGACAGAGTAAGACCCTGTCTCTTAAAAAAAAAGTTCATAGAGTTCTATAAAAAAAGATTAGTTTATGGTGAAGGATAAAAGACTCAGATGAACAGGGATATCAGGCTCTATTCTCCACCCGTGTAGCCCTTCACAACTCCATACCATCCCGTCATAAAGCACCAGCTGCCTGGAGGTCACACCAGAGTGGAGCAGGAATGTCCCAGGCTCCGGCCGGGCTCAGCTCAGCACAACCAAGACTTCATATTAGAAACTGTCATTCGTCCCCTTCTAACATTCTTGTGTTTTCTTTCTTTTCCAATAGGTACCAAGGTCTGGCATGCCCCAGTATGTGAGTATTTTTGCCTGGGTTATTTCATGTGGAACATTTTATTAAATTGCATAGAAAATGAACAGTTTAAACCTTGGAAGGCAGCTTCATTCATTCCATGCCTTATTGTAGAACTGTTTCCCTACAGCCTAGTAATAGAGAAGGAGACATTTCTAAAATCGCACCCAGAACTGTCTACACCAAGAGCAAAGATTCGACTGTCAATCACACTTTGACTTGCACCAAAATACCACCTATGAACTATTTGTCAAAGGTTTGAAGCGCCCCACATTTTCTTAACTCTATATAAAACTTCAGTTGTAATTAGCTGTTACGAGTTAACCCCTACCCACAGTAGAAGCCCAAAGCAGCCCCTCTGCATCTGTGTGCTGTCCCTGGACAGATTCGAGAGTCAACCAGGCATGCCTCTGAGCCGTTCCTGTGTATTTCCTCCATGCCGCCCAGCCTGGCTGCTTCCCCTTCAAGCAGAACAAGTGCTGCCTCAGACCCCAGGCACGGGGCCTTCCTGGGGTGTTCCACTCATACAGAGGGCATCGGGTCCCACCCTGTCACTCATTTCATTGTCTAAAATGTAGTCAGTGAGTATCTGCCATGAGCCAGGCATGGTGCTGCTGCAGGGGACCCAGCTGGGACCAAGGCACACTGTCTCTCCCCTCATGGGATTTACATGGTCATGGTTCTTTTTTTTTTTTTTTTTTTTTTGAGACGGAGTTTCGCTCTTGTTACCCAGGCTGGAGTGCAATGGCGTGATCTCGGCTCACCGCAACCTCCGCCTCCTGGGTTCAGGCAATTCTCCTGCCTCAGCCTCCTGAGGAGCTGGGATTACAGGCACGTGCCACCATGCCCAGCTAATTTTTTTTTGTATTTTTAGTAGAGACGGGGTTTCACTATGTTGACCAGGATGGTCTCGATCTCTTGACCTCGTGATCCACCCGCCTCGGCCTCCCAAAGTGCTGGGATTACAGGCTTGAGCCACCGCGCCCGGCCCGTCATGGCTCTTAAACACTGTCTAGTGTTCTTTGGACACGAGTTTTCCCTGGAGATCCCTTTCTGCAGGCCTCTAGGTCCTGACCGTGCTTTCTTTTCAGAGCCTGCCATTCACCGCAAGGTTGAACACCCCCATGGGCCCTGGAAGAACTGTCGTCGTTAAGGGAGAAGTGAATACCAATGCCAAAGGGTCAGTATCCTTGGGTTACCAGGAACAGTGCAAGTACTTCCATGCCTGTTAGCGCCTTTGACCCGGTGACAGTCCTGTGAGCTAGAAGCAGGGCTAGTGTCAGAATCTTCATTTCCAAGGTGAGATGATTCAAGCAGGAGGAAGGTTAGATTGCTAACAGCTCGTTGGCGGCAGAGCCAAGACTGAAGCCCAGTGTTCAGACTTTGGCTTTTTTTGGCCAGACAAGAGAGGAAAATTTTTGTCCATGAGGCCCACCCCTGCCTTGTAGAACTCCAGGGCAGCCCCATAAGATCAGGCAACATTGGTTGTTGTTGTTTGAGATGGAATGTCTCACTTTGTCACCTAGGCTGGAGGGCAGTGGCACAATCCTGGCTCACTGCAACCTCCGCCTCCTGGGTGTTCAAGTGATTCTCCTGTCTCAGCCTCTGGAGTAGCTGGGATTACAGGCACACCACCACACCCAGCTAATTTCTGAATGTTTGTTTGTATTTTTAGTAGAGATTGGGTTTCACCATGTTGGCCAGGCTAGTCTCGAACTCCTGACCTCAAGTGATCCACCCACCTCGGCCTCCCAAAGTGCTAGGATTACAGGAGTGAGCCACCGTGCCCAGCCCAGACATTTTTTGAGGCCCCTCTTGTCATGTGATTCAGAAAATTTCTGCTTTAAGAACTTTGTCCAGTGATATTCAGACTTCTGAAAGCTTGAAATTAGAGCTATTTCCTAGAAAGTGTCATACTTCCAAGAAGGAAGGAACACGTGTAAATGATGGGAAGAGAATACTGCTTGGAAGGACCCCAGGCTCTTGTAGCCTGAAGTCATTGATCGGGTTAACTAGTGTTAAGCCTTCAGTTTCTGTCCAGCCACATCTCAGCCTCAATGCTGATTTTAAAGGGGTTTTTTTTTTTTTTTTGTATTTTTATTTTTCAAGTAATGAATTTTAGTGGAATGCTGAGTTTAAAATTTTAATTTCATCTGCGTTCCCATGTCCATGTGGATACATGTTTCATAGAGTTAGAATCATAGTTCAAGTGTGGTCATTAACTCTGCTGAAACTGCTACCACTCTGTCCCTACTTGGTTAATTAAGGTGTTTTTTGTTTGTTTTTTCTTTCTGAAAAGCTTTAACGTTGACCTACTAGCAGGAAAATCAAAGGATATTGCTCTACACTTGAACCCACGCCTGAATATTAAAGCATTTGTAAGAAATTCTTTTCTTCAGGAGTCCTGGGGAGAAGAAGAGAGAAATATAACCAGTTTCCCATTTAGTCCTGGGATGTACTTTGAGGTGAGATTACAGCAGGAACAAGAATCCAGGGAGCAGGGGTAGGACAAGTGGTCCTTTAAATCAAGTCCTAACTCGATGTGTGGATGTGGATGTTTTTTGTTTGCTTGGAGATTGTAACTTGCTCCCTTTTATAATGTGGTCAATCGGTGTAAATGGCAAAGCCAGCAGAGTGTCACAGTATATGCATTGAAATTGACATTTGTCACCATGTTAAAATTCCTGTGTCGTCCCATATTGATAATAGGAATTTAACCAGGAACCTTGTCTCAGGACTGGAGTCACATATTTAATTGTATAAGTGAACAAGAGGACATGAAGACCCCAAAACTGCTTGCACTGGGCATCAGCTCCCATCACAGTAGATGGTTTCAGGTGGCAGTCCTTCCTCCTAAAGAGTTAGTCCTGTTTGTATGTATTCAAAGAAAAATGCATCAGTCCCTTGGAACTAAAAGGCATGTAGTCCTGAGTCCTCAAATAGGTGAATACTGTAACACGTACCTTTCCCAAAATCTGATTCTGGGATGCTGAGCAGAGAATAGCCTCCTTGTGATGTGGATACTGGGTGGTTGGCCAGCTTCACTCACTAGCTCAGGTGCCACTGCCTCACACAGTCACTTAGGGTCATTGGTTTAGGTTATAATTCTACAGCATTTCGAACTGCCACATCCTCTGGACCATTTGGGTTCTTAAGGACTCATCAAAACCCGTTACTAATCGCGTGAGTATCAGGTGGAATAGATGGCAACGTGACATTCACATTTATTCCTAAGTTCCAGTCCAATGCAGTGCCCCGGTATGTGGAGTGTAGACAGATGTGGGCTAAGCATGGAAGGTTCTCTGGAAGTTGTGGATATCGGTTTGGAATTCAGAAAGCTGGGAGGGTGTGGAGGACTAAAGGTTGGCTTTTCTAGATTTAGGGCATGATGTGTACAAGTCCTTAGAGGTGGGAAGGGCAGCACGAGGTTGTTGGCTTGGCAAGAGTTAGGGCATAAAGGGTGACTTGGGGTTCACCGGAGGGAAATAGAGGTGAGTGTTCCAGAAGGAAATTGAGCCCTGTGGTTGGTGACAGGAAACTAATGATGCAAGTTGTTTTTGACCTATCTGGGCCCCAAGTTTGGATCTACCAATTAACAGAAAAAAGGACAGTAATGATACATTCAAGTAATGCTGAAAAAAACTAAGATGAAAATATCTCCAACTTCATAATTCAAATATACCATTAGGATTAGATAAAGCACATTCCAGATATCCTTCTGTAGAGACAGAGTGAAAAGGATGGCTGGCCGAAGTAATGAATAGATGGATATTGTATGCTTCTGAACAATTGTCTTTTCCGTTTGTTAATTTTCTACTTCAGGAACAGTCATGATCCTCATGTTGATCGCTGTTGACGATGTTCTATACCGACACGTCCTTCCCAGGGGCTTCCATCTCTTGCTTTTCCAATATGCTTGCACTGAGATTATCTCAGGTCTTTCCATTATGCCATTACTTTCATTTTAAATCTTCTTGCAGTTTCAAACATAACTTTAGTTGTATCTACGGTGTTTTTTTTTTTTTTTTAATCTCATTCATTGTTGTCATTTCATCTGTGGGCTCTTCTGGATGAAATCCATGTTCTCCCCAGCTGTTCGACAGCATCAGGTGGTTGTGAGGGCTTCTGTTTTCTGTTTTCCTCTAGGCTGGCGGTCTTGCAAATGATGTGCTTTCTTTCCATTTGCAGTAGTCTGCTCACCCAGAGGCATGTCATTTCCTTGCCACTTGGTTGTAACTCATTGGCTCTGCGCTTGCTCTGATGTAGTCCAGGCTTTGACGCCCTCTGCTGCCAACTTGGTTTTCCTTCTGAGCTATAGCATGAGGTTGTGTGCTTTGTGTTTTCCTGAGAGTTTGTGAAATCTTTCAAGTCCCTTCTACCTGGTTAGAACTGGGATTCCCACCATTCTAGTGGGGATAGAATTTCAGGTTACACATACTTCCCCAATCCTCTGTAGCCATAGAAGCTTCATTTTGGCCAGCTCTCTTATCAAGAGTGCAGGACTCAGCTGAAATTTCCTCCTCTTCCTCATTTTCCTTGACGGCCCTTTCCACTGCTCCTATTAAAAAGAATGAAGACCTGAACTTGCTGCTTTGCAGATTCAGGTTTTGTGTTTCAGCCTGGCCTCTGGAGTCGGGCCAGGTTAGCAGCAAGGTTGAGCTTCCCCTCTTTCTTCTGAAGCCTTCATGGGGCCGGGTAGCACAGGAAGAGCTCAGTGCAGGACCTCCCAGTGTCGTCCTCAGTGTGGGTGGAAACCCAGCCTGGCGCTGGCAGTGTGCACCAGAAGTACGAAGTTTAGGCATAAAGATGATGTAAAAGGCTAGTAGGTTTTCTGAGTTTTCACTGTCTGAGTTTTGGGCACAGACGACTGTGAAGGGCAAAGACTAGTGACGAATTTGAACGGACTCTGCCAGAATGTGCATCCCTGCTGACCCAGGGTACCCGGCTTTGAGGACTTCGGAGAAACACACTGAGGCCAAGATGTGCTGAGCTGGGATGGAATTTGGGTCACCAAGCAGCTGTAAAAACCCTAGCAGCAAGTGCCTTAAGCTGCTGAAATTTCGTATTAATTGTCTGGTTGGTTCACGGTCCTAGATTTTGAGGCAGGAAAGTCAGGATCCACGTCCCTTGGTTCCAGTCCACTCGCTGGAATCAGCATCTTAGTGAACTAGAGTGACAGTGGACGTTTTCCCACTTGAGGAGAGTCCCCAGCATTGGTGAGGAGAGGCAGCACTCCACCTTTCCGGGAGCAAGGGGCAGGGTATCCTGGCCCAGGAAGCGGGGCCTGTCCTGAGGAAAGGAGGGCCACAGGCCCTGGGGACGTGTGAGGCTCCAACCATGTCCAAGTAACTTCCCTGGGTGGGATGAGGCAGACAGTGCCACCGCCAGGGATACTTTAGTTAGATTAGGGTCTTGGGAGTCACAGAGGGAAGTCAGCAGCAGCAGGCTAAAACTGTTCTATGTATAAAGCAAATCAGTTTACTCTGACACCCTATTAGTGTGCAACAAACGCAACGTTTTAAACTAAGGGGAACCACTAATGGCTTGTTTCCTTTCCTTCCAGATGATAATTTATTGTGATGTTAAAGAATTCAAGGTTGCAGTAAATGGTGCACACAGCCTGGAGTACAAACACAGATTTAAAGAGCTTAGCAGTATTGACACGCTGGAGATTAATGGAGACATCCACTTACTGGAAGTAAGGAGCTGGTAGCCTACCTACACGAAATACAGAATGCTACAAAAACCGAAATACAGAATGGCTTCTGTGATACTGCTCTTGTCGAAATGCATCTCATGTCACTCTATTGTTTATATTGTTAAAATGAGCTTGTGTACCGTTAGGTCCTGCTGGGTGTTCTCAGTCCTTGCCATGAAGTATGGCAGTGTCTTGCACTGAATAGGGAAATTGGGGGCAGTAGCATTTACAGCTAGTTCAAGCCACCCTTCCCTCTCTCCTACTTTGACTCCAAGAATCACATTCAACAAGTATTTATGGAGTACCGACTATAATACAGTAGCTAACATGTATTGAGCACAGATTTGTTGGTTAAAACTGTGCAAGGAGATGGGATATATAATTGGTGGTGAAACAAACCAGTATGTTCCCTGTTGTCCTGAGCTTCGACTCTCCCGTGCTTTAGCGCTGTGTACTGCTTCTGCAGGCATTGCATCACCTCCTAAGGACCCCTCTGGGATTAGTGATGCAGCTGTTAAATCACCCGAAGACACTAATTTATAGAAGACACTACCCCTTCCCCAGTGATCACTCATAACCAGTGCTCCCACGTATCCCATAACTGAGAGGACTGATGTTGACTTACATCAATTCGTTTTCTTTAGCATAATAAACATATAGCTCTGTTAGCTGCAAGCTTTACCAAATAATAACATAACATCTGAACACAGCACAGAAATTAAAGCAAAAACAAAAAACAAAAAAAAAAAAAATCCAAAGCAAAACAAAAAAAAAATGGTGCTGAAATTAACCATTGATGTCAAGCCCAAGGCAGCTGATTTCTGTGCATCTGAACTTAGGGTAAATCAGAGTCTACACAGACTCCTACAGAAAGTTTAAGGAAGAGGCAAGATGCATTCAATTTGATAGTCATGGGTAGTGAAGTAAGGTCAGGATCAGACTTCAGGGATTCATAAGGCAGGCACTAGCGAAAGTGTACACCAAGAGACCCACAAAGCAGGCAGAGGTAATACAAAAATCTGTTTTGTTCCCACGTAAATAACCATTCAGGGCCTCCGTTCTTCTAAAGATTAGTCCATCATTAGCACCTGAGATCAAGGTACTCTAAATTGTTGCATTTCTGTAATTTTTCTACTATTTGAGGGGAGTTGGCAGAAGTTCCATGTATACGGGATCTTTACAGGTCAGATCTTGTTACAGGAAATTTCAAAGGTTTGGAAGTGGGGAGGGAAAAAAGCTCCGTCCGTGAGGATCATTTTATCACATTAAACTGTGGGGCAGAACTCTGCCAGGACTTAGGAATCTTTTCAGAACAGATTTTAGTTAGATATTATTTCTATCCAAATATTGAAAAGAATACCATCATCCATCTTATTTTTAAAAAAGGACTCGGTGTAGAAAATGCTAGCCCTTAGTTCTTTTCCAGCTTTTCATGCTATTTCTGCAGAGTCTCACCAAGCTCAGAGACACTGGGTAGGGGCGGAGGGTGCCACAGGGAAAGCTGTAGAAGGCAGGAAGGCTCCAGAGTCCCCCGGGAGTTCTTTTTCTTCGTAAAGAACATCAGAGTGCTTAACTGAGCTGCTGGAGACCGTGAGGCATTTAGGAAAAAACCAGCCCACTCACATCATTCCCTGTAAGTCTTAAGTTCATTTTTATTTTATGTGGAGTAAAAAAATTTAAAATTTATTTTATTTATTAATGCACTTTAATGAGACATTTCTTAGAAATATGTACTTCTGTACTAGAAAGCTCTATCCCTAAACTGTAAGTTAGCCTTTTGCGTGTCACAATTCTGCATTAAACTTCTATATTAGTTCCAAAGGCTTTTAAACTCAATGCAAACATTCTACGGGATTGTTCTTAGATGCTGTTAAAAAAAGGGGAAGATCTAATTGTATCTGAGCCCTCACCTTCCAACTTTACCATGACCCAGTACTAGATACTAGGGCACTTCAAAGCGTTACAAAAAATCTAGTGATACTTTCTTAGACAAGTAATTCTTAGTTAACCACCAATGGAATGGGACCATTCTGAATCCTGGAGGAGCTTCCTTGTGCCACCTAGTGTTTCTGGGCCCTCTGTCTGTGTGAGCAGCCAAGGGTGAGCTGTTTTGGAAGCAGCATATTGCCTCCATCTCCCGTTTTCTCAAAGAGTAAAAGATAAAGGTGACAATCACACTCCTGGGTTAAAAAGCATTCCAGAACCACTTCTCCATAGGCACACGCAAAGAAATTAAGGCTGAAGTTGGCCTACCCAAAATGAAAAGTAGGCTTTACAGTGAAAAGTATTTGTTGATTGCTAAATTACCGTTATTTTCTGCAAGCAGAGAGCGAGTCTTGAGTGAAATCTGCAACACAGATACCATGTATGTAAGACACTGCTATACAGAAGAGTTAAGGCTTACAGTGCAAATGAGGCGTCAGCTTTGGCTACTAAAAGTAAACAGGTCTAATATTATTAACATCAATCAGGAAGAGAATAAATGTTAACCAAACACAGCAGTCTGTATAAAAAGACCATGTATCATTTACTCTTTCTGCAGCTCTGTACAGTTGGCAGGAGAGGCTTATGTGGTGGCAAAACCAGGTGGGAATTTTGTAAAGATACAATAAAATATTTGTAAGTAGTCCAAGTAGGTGTTTTAAGGCACCAAAAGTAATAGGGCACCCCAACACCCAAAAATAAAAATATGAAAAATAAATCTGAACTCTGAGTAGAGTATGAAACACCAGTCTTAAAAGTAGCTCTGGAGCGGCTCCCCCAGCACAGTTTCCAGCTGTTGAATAGTCTTTTGGCACTGATGTTCTACTTCTTCACATTCATCTAAAAAAAAATCAAAATGAAAATCGGAGTCAGTTCACCTGCCTCATTTCTCATTAGCTTAATTCTTAATGTCTGGCATTCTCCGGCAATCATTCAAACAACAGAGTGAGATGAGGAACATTAACAAAGCAGGAAGCGCCACAGACCACCTCCCTCTGCAGCGTTCCTTCCGCCTCCATGCCATTCTCAGAGGCTTGCACTGGAAGCTGAATCAGAACCCCGAAAACTCACACTTCCTAGGGATACCACCCCTTTAGCAGCTCACACTTCCCCCTCCAGGAGCTAAGAAACAAAGGAGAATGCACTTTTTTGGCTTAGCTAAGCGACGAATCGGTAAAGCACTGATCTGCTTGCTCCACACCCCTCCCACGTTCTTTCCTGGGCCTAAGACTACGCTCCAGAACCGTCACAGCTCCCCATGTCACACTCACTAGCTTGTCATCTTTGTCAAATCATTGAAACCTTTTAAGCTTCTAGTTTATTCCTTTGTAAAACAGACAGAATGTTGTGATTTTTAAGTGAAATAATCCATGTAAAGCACCTGTCACGGAGTAGTGAATGAATGTTGGTTGTTATTAGAAGTGGATCTCCTACTGCACCCTTCATGCCACTAGGCATTTCCATACAGTAACCTCCCATCTGGGGACCAAAACTTCAATCATATCAATGTCTGAAGTTAATTAAAAACACTATTGTAATCTGCTTGTATGATCACAAAAAGCCACAAAAGTAAAGAAGTGAAGATCACACTGCAAACAGACTCAAATGATCACGAGGTGGTCACTTCTCAACTCACTCCCTCCACCCAACTCAAAACGGGAGCTCCAGGCTGCCTGTTTCTGAGAACGGCGCCGCCTGGAGGAGGATGGGAGCAACTGCTAGTCAAGTTATATCCAAATCTGCATTATGACTGGGCACATTTTCACAGAATTTTTCTGATTTACTCCTTAATTGTTTAATAGTTTGGGAATTACCTTCCATCAACTCTGCTAAGAAAGGAATGGATTCTGGCAGCAAGACAATGTAATTCTCCTTTAGTTTTTCAGCCAATGCTAACACAGTAATCAAAGCAGCAAATCGAACCTGAAAGGGATAAAAGAGTAAAGAATGAGAAAGTAGTGTTAGTATATTTATTATTTTAAGAGCTGTACTGACTTGAGCTAAGCTCTAAGTTTTTAAACTAAACGTGAGTTCACATGTGTTTATTCCCTTCATTATGTTCATTCACCTTTCATCTTAGGATACCAGTTTATCTAAATCAGTGTGTTCCAAACTGTCCCACGACTGCACATCTTTAATGTGAAATGTCTTTTTATAACCTCTTCCTTTAGAATAAAATAAAATAAAACAAAATAAAATGCCACAGGCAAACTCAAGTGTGTCACCAAATTTTACTTCCCTGGAGCTCGCCAGCCTGCCAAGCTGGCAATCAAGTGCCTCCGGCCACCTCTGGCAGGTCTCCCTACCCACAGCCCCTGACTTGTCACCACTATAGTTGTATGAGGGGCCAGGACACTCGCTTGGGGTAAGCTCCCATCTCAGCACTGAATAAAACACATTCTGTGTCACAATATCCTAGTTCTGGGCATTAAAGAAGTCAGTGTTTCTCACATGCCTTGTCTGTGATAAGGACAGCAAGCAGTAGCTGGATATTGTTAGCTTTTGAAACAAAAGCCCGACCGGTCTTCCTAATTTTGGGTATTTTCATTAAAGACTGTCTGGATAGTACAAAGTGAATTATTCAAAAACCATCTCTAACTACCTAGATTCAATCAGGATTTCCTTGATTTGTGTAATCAAAGTAAAATATTACCATAAATTTGACACTGTTACTTGTATAAAAACCTAGGGTTTAAAATGTGGGGGTTCATCAAAATAGTCTCATTGTTAGCATATCCTAATAAAGAATTTGAACTAATAAATCCTATTAATGAAATTCTGCCTTGGTCTGTTAAATCCAGTAAGGTTCTAACATAATCATTAGTTTGAGAAATGGCAAATCATTGCTAAAACAGTTTGGAATTTGTGACACCTGGGTGTGGAATTTTGCCTTCCACTCAACCTAGCCATGTTTCATTTTTGCTGCCACCACTAATTCAACAAGATCACAGGCCTCGTATTTACAAACAAGACAATATATTGCCCTAACTCAAAAGACTATTATTATTCTGTGGACAAATTCAATGCCTTTATCTCTGGAGCACAATGACATTTCAATGGCACTTTGAAAACAAGGAATCACTTCAAATCATTGTGACTTCAAGTATTTTAGAAGGTATTTAGAAGGTACTTGTGTCCAAGCACCACCGGGGCGGGGACAGGGCACCACTATTCTTTACAAATAGCCTCTAGGTAAAATCCCAGATTTTCTCAGGCTCAAACTTCTGCCTGATACAAAAGACTGGACCTCTCGGACTGGATGACAAATAGCAATGCCCTTCCCTGCCAGTTTACCAGGGGCCTACATCTGCGACCACCTGCAGGCTGTTTAGGCTACGCAATGAAAACGTGCAGTTTCCATACTTGCGACCTAGTTTCTAACCTTAGGCGAGGAGTCTCTCGTCTTTAGCAGAATCTGGTAGTTCAGTGGTTTCCAAAGAGAGTCGTCCGCCATGGCCACGGAAAACTGTGCGATGCAAGGGATCAGGTGCTTTGTCACCCGTTCCTGGAATTTCTCTTCTCCCCCGAGCCTGTTTTCCAGCTATGAAGAATAAGACAAAGACTTTGAACAACAGGTCTCATTTTTTTTTCTTCTCTTTGAAAAAATACCCAACATATAAGTATTTTACTATCTTTCATGGTATTAGCAGGTTCAAAAACGAGGCATTATTCTAATACTCTCTAGGGCCAATTTATTGCCTTCTGGAACTCAGATGGAATCTCATGCCCTTTACCATCGCCCCTTTTTCTCCAGCAGAACATCTTGGAGGGTTTCTTTCCTCCAGAGGGCAGCCATGCTCTGAGGTGTTCTCAATGAGGCCCAGTTAAAACAAATTAATAAGTTAACCATGACACCTTATACCATGTCTTCCTTCTGAGCAGTTAAATAACAAAACAAAACAGCCAACAACTCAAGACCAGGCACGGTGGCTCACGCCTGTAATCCCAGCACTTTGGGAGGCTAAGGTGGACGGATCACTTGAGGTCAGGAGCTCGAGACCAGCCTGGCCGACATGACAAAACCCCATCCCTACTAAAAATACAAAAAATAGCCACGTGTGGAGGTAGGCACCTGTAATCCCAGCTATTTGGGAGGCTGAGGCACAAAAACTGCTTGAACCTGGGAGGTGGAGGTTGCTGTGAGCGGAGATCGCACCACAGTACTCCAGCCTGGGCAACAGAGCAAGGCCCTGTCTCAAAAAAACAACAAAAAAACTCAAATTCCACAATGAAGTTGTATCTTTGAAAAAACAGTTTTCAAATAAAATATTTCATTTAAAGGAGCAAAAAATTAAAAAAACCTTACAAAGAAAAAAGCCTAGCAAACTGTCATTTTGAGCAGATATAAAACCTGCCAAGATCGAACAGTGATGGCTTCCTCTGTAATAAAAGATGATTCTGTTTGGTTACCTGATCCACCAGAGGCATCATCAAGGCTTCTGCTCTCTCTTTACTTATAAAATGCTGGGTATCAAAAAGGAAGATTTTGTGCAAACAGTTCAAAATAAACTGCAACAGCAAGCAGCACTTTTCAGGGTCTTTTTCAGAGTCAAAAAATGCTTCGTCTGTAGATGTGGGAAGAGCAAAATAAAAAACAACTTATTTAATCTCCAATGTCTACAGTGAAATCACTATTACAATAACTATAATCGTAAGTGTCTAAATAATCTAGAAATCCTCATCAGGATGAAATGATGGATGGCCTCTGGAGAAATGATTCCTTCTTTTAGAGCTAAGATTCTAACACTCAGTTTGGCAAGTTAAATTCCTTCCAAAGTCAAGTGGGTCACGTATTAGCAGTAGAGGATACTCTCGATTTTTAGGTTTTAAAGTCATTCCCAGTAACGACAGTAATGCCCATTTACTTTATTCTTTCTCCCGAGTGAGTTGACTTACAACATCTTTTCATCATGCTAAAGTAACACTTCACTGTCCGACAACAGTGAAGTAAAAAATTCACCCTCCTTGCTTAGAACGTAAGAACCTTTAAAATCTTGTCTCTGAGCGCTAGGTTGCATCTTACTGGTATCTTGCATGAGGTACACAGAGCAAAAAGTGACAAGTGAACTGAAGCAACTACCCACCTGTTTTGGAGATGTTCACCTGGTTCAAGGTGTCAGCAAAAGGCTTCACCAAGTGGCCGGCAAACAGAGTAAAAAGCCCTTTCAGCTTTTCAGCAATGCAATCTGCCAAGTTGTAAAATGTCAGCAGCCTGTCCTTTGGGGCGTCTTCAGTTTTAGCCCAATCAAACAGCTAAAAGGGTAAGATAGGAATATTAGTTTCTTCGACATCTTGTCACTGAAATCTGAGCACAAAAGACAGGAAGAGGAACAAGGCGTCACCTTGAAGAACAGGGGTCTGAATGTGACCTCGGAAAGTTTCACAACCATGGCTACTAGACAGTCGATGACAAACTTTTCTGTTTTTCCAATTTCCTCCAGATCGTCCTGAAAACAGCAGCGTCCACTTATTAGAGTATTGCTACCTAACTGTAAATTATTTTGGCAGGTACAACTCTTACGCAGCTAGGTAATTCTCAGACTCTTAAATAGGTAGGTCACAACTTTAGGGTTTGGAGGACCGAACCTCAGCTCACCTCCGAGTGCTGTGCTCGGAAGTCCAGGGCTTCCAGGAAAAACGTGGTTAGCTGAGACTGATGGGAGGTGAGCTCTTCTTTCTTCATCACCCCAATATGCTCTTGCAAGATGCTCATGAATGGACCCATGTGATTCTACCAAAAACACAGTAAAGAGATGTGCCATTTTCAAATTATTCCTCGAGTTCAGCAATGTGTATTTAAAAAAATTAAATCACCATATTCTTCTTTAAGTGAAAGTTGACACATGTCAGTGCCGCCTCTCCCTTCTCCAAAGTCTTAATACTCAGTATGAATCTAACCTTCCAGCTCTTCTCAATCTGCTTGTAAGTTTTTTTGATGGCCGGCAATAGGACCCGGGGTGCAAGTGTGGTAGCCAGTGTCTTTTTAAGAGATGTGAGGCGGATATTGGCCTGTGAGGTGGAACCCATTTCACTAGTGATTTTCTCCAAATGAATCACCTGCAGGAATATAAAAAAAAAAAAACAGTGATCAGGGCCATTGTAGATCCTCACTGACAAACACACACTGAAAGAAAGGCTTCATGATGACATGTTAGTGTTTGGGAAATGCTCAGCACCTTTTACCTACACACGGAATCCCTTCTAAAGTCAACCCTAAACATCAGTGGATAAAACTGGGCAGATACCTCTTGCCCAACCTGCAATCACAGACGAAGACCAGTGGCAGAGGCAGAAGCAGCCAGATGATTTTCTTGGAGGAAAGGAATGCAAGGGACCATGGCAAGAGTCAAGTTCTTCCTTCTAAAAAACGGAGGAAGCTCCCCAGAGCGCAGGCTTCTTTCTGTGAGAAGGCTACCGTCAAGCCCTGGCTGTGGCTTATGTGAACCGGTTTAATCATCTGCCCGTTGTAATGAAGGCTCCTAACCTTGTAAATGGCAAATGATCAACACAATGAAACAGCCAGGGCTCAACAGTCTTGAACATTTTCAATCAGAAACACCACTGGCCCCTAGCGTGTTGACAGGAAATTGCTGACCTGCAATACAAAAATTCTAAACCTCTCACATTAGAAACAGGGCACACTAATTTCCACAATAAAAGGCGGCTCTACCTACCAGCCCAACTCCAAAAATCTCACAGAAGAAAAAATCCAGAATACCTTCTGCACAATTAAAGAAGAGAAGCACCTCACTAAAAAGTGACCCCATACTGATTTCAAGATGAAGTGGCAAGGATGATGCAAGAGAAAAAGTACGCATTTAATAAAAGCAAGCACATCTTTTCAGAAATAAGACTCCTTTCGGGCAAACGCAAGCTAATACTTAAAAAACAAAACCACTGAATTCGGTATCTTTGACTTCCCCCAGTCACCCCACGTGGCAGGCCGTGGTCACCATGGCTCACCTGGGAGAGAATACCTTCCAGGTAGGGGCTGATGAAGCGCGGGAGAGTCTCTACCACCTTCTGCAGGGCAGCCAAGGCACTGAGCAGATAGACCTCGCTGGAGACCAGGTCACTGGTGTTCTTCATTGTTGTCAGCAACGATGGCATCAGGCTAGAAGCAAAGGAAGAGCTAAACCAGAGGAACTTCAAGCAGAAACGGAGACTAGGGAACGGAGTAGAGGGCATTAGGAAAAAAGCCAACGAACTATGCTTATTACATCACTATATACCTCACAGCCTAAAAAGCGCTGTCTACACATTTCATGTGACTAAGCACAAGAAATGTCCCGGTGCCAACAGTGCAGACACAACAGGAATTTAAAAAATAACAATGTCTTTCACTAATGGAACACTTACTATGTGTCAGGCACTATACAAAACTCCTTGCAAGCACTGCCCTACAGAAATCCTTTGAGGTAGACACTATCTCTCTTTTACAGGCAGCAAAGCTCTAACAGGTTAAGGAACCTACTGGCTGCATGGTAAGGAACTAGCACAGCCAGGAGCTTCGAACTTCCGTATCTGGCAGCAGAAGGCACCTTTGGCCTTGTCCACCTGGACGGGCCCCTCTACGAAGGACCTTCACCCGTTGCTTTTTGACTGTACTAGACAAAAAGAAGAATGGGGGACAATCAACATCACAAAGCTGTGCATCTGAGGATACACAGGAAGGCTGTGTCTTTCCATTCAAAGATGATTTTTTTTTTTAAGAGACAGGGTCTCACTCTGTTGCCCAGGCTACGGTGCAGTGGTGCAATCA